GAGCAGGTGAGTGGTGCGGCAGAGCAGGTGAGTGTGCGGCAGAGCAGGTGAGTGGTGCGGCAGAGCAGGTGAGTGGTGCAGCAGAGCAGGTGAGTGGTGGGCAGAGCAGGTGAGTGGTGCGGCAGAGCAGGTGAGTGGTGCGGCAGAGCAGGTGAGTGGTGCAGCAGAGCGGTGAGTGGTGCGGTGACAGTGTAGGGGTGCAGCAGGATAAGGGAGTTGATGCTCAGCTGACAACTGAGAGCTGAGTTGAATGTACTGTAAACAAGAACGCGTCATCTGTTTTTGGCCGTGTGAGGCACTTTCCTGAGCACAATTAACAACAACAAGGAACCAGGCAGGTATCGAACCCACAAGTGTTGCACATTTGTGTTTGAAAGAGATGTTATGCTACTGGTCCTGTGATTTAAGTAAGCAATTTGTTGTGTTTTATATATTATTTTGACAACGACCGTGATTTATGCTATTTGTTGTGTACTTGAGCTCTCTTGTCAAGCATCATGGAGGACGCAGAGCCGCTGCGCGCGCTCTCCGCCCACATCCGCGTAAAAACGGACCAGGCGGGTATCGCGATAGTTTCCCTCAGCTTTCCGCTCTATCGCCGCGTTCCTTCCGTCCCTAGTCCCTCCCCGCGCTGCGCGCGCTCTCCGTCCACAGCGCGTGACGCGGACCCTACTTGTCTCCCGGGTCTCTCGGGTGAGAGCCGAGTATCCTAACCGACTAGACTACAACGGATGTCACCAACCTTTGACACAAAATAATGACCTATGTGTTTTTTCTGCAATTCTGCGCTCACGATGACGTTTTCCCATGCGGTTGTCATGACGTCGTCTCTCTCCGTCGCCCTGCACCGGGGGCGGGTCGCGTGCCTCAGCATTCAGTCACATACCGTCCAGGTATCCGTTGCATGCAGTCGTACACTGCCCAGGTATCCTCATCATTCTGTCGCAGACCGTGTTGGTCACCGTCGCATTCACCTGCCCTCACGGTCCAGATAGCAAACGATACCGACGTCGTTACTCTACCCCGGCGTAGGCAATGCAAAGCAGCGTTTTTTACGTTACGTAGGGTAACCCTACGGTAGCCAAAGCAACCGCCGGTGGCCGAGAGTCCCTCTCAGGTGTCTCTCAGACGCCCCTCTCAAGTGACTCTCAGGTTACCCTCTCAGGTGTCTCTCAGGTGCCCATCTCAGGTGTCCATCTCGGGTGCCCCTTTCAGGTACCCCCACTCAGGTGTTTCTCAGGCGCCCATCTCAGGTGTCTCTCAGGCGCCCCCTCTCAGGTATTTTCTCAGGGGGTCCCTCTCAGGCTTCTCTCAGCTGTCCCTTTCAGCTGCCCCTCTCAGGTGTCTCTCAGGTTCCCCTCTCAGGTGCCCATCCCAGGTGTCTCTCCAATGTCTCTCAGGTGCTTGCTTAGTACGACCATGCGAAGTCCTGGTATGAAGCTCTGAGTGTCTCGGTCATGCATCAAGTGTATGAAGCATGGGCTCATGCGAACGCGTGTGTGAAGGAGTGTGTCTGCATTGAGTGTATGAGTGTATGTATATACATGCATACATAAATCTATCTATATACATATTATATTTATACATCTATGTGTTTACACCCTGACACTTCGGTCACATATCTATATTGCTTCGTACCCGGTCCATGCGTCAGAACTATGTGGGTGGGCAGCAAGGTGGCCAGGCTCCCCCGGCAGCTGCTCCTGATGTTGCAGGGTGTTTTTGAGAATTCTCAAAAACACCATGCGTCAGAGCTATGTGGGTGGGCAGCAATGTGGCCGTGTTCCCCCAGCCCGGCAGCTGCTCCTGCTGGGAAGCGGAGCAGGTGAGTGGTGCAGCAGAGCAGGTGAGTGGTGCAGCAGAGCAGGTGAGTGGTGCGGCAGAGCACGTGAGTGGTGCAGCAGAGCAGGTGAGTGGTGCAGCAGAGCAGGTGAGTGGTGCAGCAGAGCAGGTGAGTGGTGCAGCAGAGCAGGTGAGTCGTGCAGCAGAGCAGGTGAGTGGTGCGGCAGAGCAGGTGAGTGGTGCAGCAGAGCAGGTGAGTGGTGCAGCAGTGCAGGTGAGTAGTGCAGCAGAGCAGGTGAGTGGTGCAGCAGAGCAGGGTGAGTGGTGCAGCAGAGCAGGGCACGGGGTGTGTGGGTGCTGGACTCGCTGCTGATAGCCTGGTGCTGGTGGTGGGGCGTGACGCCAGTAGCCCTGCTGTAGAGCACATGGGTGAGGTGACAGGGCATGGGGCGTGCCAGTGTGGTGGTCGAGGTGTGCTTTGAGTCGAATCACTCACATGTGCTTGGATATGCTGCTGCTGCTGATGCTGGTGCTGGTGCTGGTGGTGGGGAGTGACGCCAGCAGCCGTGCAGCAGGGGAAGTGAGTGAGGTGACAGGTCATGAGGGTGTTGGTCTGGTGTTGAGTCATGGTTTGAGATGACTCCTGAACATGCTGCTTGTGCTGCTGGTGGGTAGTGACGCCAGTAGCCCTGCTGCAGAGGAGGTGTGTGAGAGGGCATGGGGGTGTTGGTCTAGTGCTTGATTTGATGTGTGGTGTGAGGATGGGGCAGGTTTCACACAACAGGTCGGCGCATGAGGCATGCCGTGTCGGTGAGTGTTAGAAGGTCAGCAATGGGCCCTTGTTTTGACCTTGGAAAGCAGGTCTCATCACTTCACCCCCCTGCCCTTGTCACTTCACCCCCCTGTGCTGGTCACTTATCCTGCCTACCTGTAGTGAACTTGTGCCAGTTTTCTTCTTTCTCCCCCTGTTTGATTCAATTTTCACTCTCCCTTCAGTTTCTGTCACTCATTATCCCCTACGTTTGCACCTGCCCTGCCCACCCCTACATACACCACCCCTTACATACACTGCCCTGGCTCCCACTCTGGTCAACATCTTGACATACGTATTTCAGGAGGACGGCCCCGGACCACCTGGATCATCTAGATCCCCCTCCCTCAGGCGGCAAGGCGAAAACATGAGCGTAATCGGAAGGGTGATGGCAGAAAGCTTGCTTGTGATTGATTAACAAGCAGAGATGGGGTACAAGAGAGGGGAAAAGCCCCCTAAAATCCTGAAAAAAACCCCCCCACAGCCCCCCCAAGGCCCCCCTAAGGCCCCCCTACCCCCCAATTCTCCTCACAGCCCCTCACAGCCCCCCTCGAACCGCCCTGGAAATCCCTGGGCATGGCCCATGATGCATATCTGCTCCCTGTCATATCACATTCCTGCTTCTGCTTCTACTTTGTGCTTCCTATCTATCATATCCCTCCCGGGCATGGCATGGCATGGCATGGCATGGCATGGCATGGCATGGCATGGCATGGCCAACCAGGGAGGGGCGCACAGCACAGAGAGCCAGGAGCTCATCCACCACTCCCTCTTCTGTTCTGCTTCTGCTCCCCACTCCCCTCCCTTTTCCCTCGCCCCTCCCCCCTTTCTCTGCCCGCCTGCGTATATAATAACAAGCACATACATTCATATTCGCTAGGTCATCAAATCTATAAGTCATCTATCACTCTACGCGTCGTAGCAAATAGCCTCATGTTGTCGACAGGAGAAAATGGCACATGCGCTCCCTCCTTGTGCGTCTGTTTCTCTCTCTTCTTCTCCCTCATGTCATGCCCTGCGCATGGCTGAACACAAGCAGGTGGCAACGCATCTACTCCCTGTTTCCGTTTCTGCCACTCTTTCATATCCCAAACCTGGCCCAAACCAAACCTGCACTCCCCCCCTCCCCCTGCATATATACTAACAAGCACATACATTTATGTTCCTAACGTAATCAGATTCATCAATCCCTACCACTCTACACATTGCAAGCCAAGTGTCTTCGTCTTGGCGACAGGAGGGAAGCTGGCACCTGCGCAAGGGGAGGGGGGGAGTTGGGGTTGGGGAGAGGGGAAGCGGAGCAAGTGAGCGGGGGGAGCAGGGCAAGTGAGGGGATGGCAGGAGGTGTGAGGGCATGGTGGGATGGCAGGTGTGAGGGATATGGCAAGGTGTGCAGTGCATGCTCTGGGGCGACTCACAACGCACCTGATGCTGGTTTGGTGGGCCATGCGGCATGGCATGGCGCTGCGCTCCCTCCCCCTGCTTCTGTTTCTCTCCTTTGTTCTCTCTCATGTCCCGCGCATGGATGATGAGGGACGGCCACACAAGCAGCTGGCAACGCATCTGCTCCCTGTGCAAAGTATCTTCATCTTGGCGACAGGAGAAACTGGCACCTGCGCAAGGGGAGGGGAGGAGTTGGGGTGGGGGAGCAGAGCAAGTGAGCGGGGGGAGCAGGGCAAGTGAGCGGGGGGAGCACCCTAAACCCCCTTACCCCCTTACCTGGCAGGAAATGAAAGTCACCATGCAGGGAATGCAAATCCACCTGCCAGGGCATGAACAGGCACCATGCAGGGCATGAGAAGGCACCGTGCAACACGCGAAGGCACCTTGCAGGGCATGAGAAGGCACCTGGAAGAAGGGGGAAAGTGGGGAAAGAGGGGAGGGGGTGGGTGAGACAGGCTCAAATGGGCAGGCGCTGCACTGGCAGCTGGCAGAAAGGGGAGGGGAGAGGGTGGCTTGGACGTCTCACAGTTCCCCATGCCCCCTTACACCCCCCCCTTGAGCAAAGAATGCACACAGGAACAACAAACAAGCAAGCAAAACAAACTAAAACAAACAAACAAACAAACAAACAAACAGGAAATTTTGGGATGGAAAGAGGGGACGGGGTGAGTGAGACCTCTTCAATCAACATGCGCTGCACTGGCACCTGCTGGAAACGGGAGGACAGAGGGGAGGTGTTGAGTGTGACACCTCAAAACATTATGCCTTGCACTGGCACCTGCTGGAAAGGGGAGGAAAATGGCATCATGCAAGGAATGAGAAGGCATCATGCAGGGAACGGCAAGGCACCTTGAGGGAATGAGAAGGCACATGATTTTTATGTGCCCTAGTACATTGTTTTGCTTTTGTGTTCATACATTCATGCATCGTTCTGGTTCGCTCTTACCACGTGGGCGTGCGCGTCAGCCTGCCCCACCCCGTGCTCCACTGTCACGCCCCGCTGGCAACTGCTGAAACACGGGGAGGGAGGGAGGAGAGGGGAGGGGAGGGGAGATGAGGGATTGGTCAAATGACTCAAAACCGAGGGGAGAGAGGAGGGGATTGGTCAAATGACTCAAAACAAAGAGGAGAGAGGAGGGAATTGGTTAAATGACTCAAAACAAAGAGGAGAGAGGAGGGGATTGGTCGAATGACTCAAAACAGAGGAGAGAGGAGGGGATTGGTCAAAGGACTCAAAACAGAGGGGAGGGAGTAGGGAATTGGTCAAATGACTCAAAACAGAGGGAAGAGAGGAGGGGATTGGTCAAATGGCTCAAAACAAAGAGGAGAGAGGAGGGGATTGGTCAAATGACTCAAAACAAAGGGGAGAGAGGAGGGGATTGGTCAAATGACTCAAAACAAAGAGGAGAGAGGAGGGGATTGGTCAAACGGCTCAAAACAGAGGGGAGAGAAGAGGGGATTGGTCAAATGACTCAAAATAGAGGGGAGAGAGGAGGGGAGCAGGGCAAGTGAGCGGGGGGAGCACCCTAAACCCCCTTACCCCCTTACCTGGCAGGAAATGAAAGTTACCATGCAGGGAATGCGAATGCACCTGCCAGGGCATGAACAGGCACCATGCAGGGCATGAGAAGGCACCGTGCAACATGCGAAGGCACCTTGCAGGGCATGAGAAGGCACCTGGCAGAAGGGGGAAAGTGGGGAAAGAAGGGAGGGGGTGGGTGAGACAAGCTCAAATGGGCAGGCGCTGCACTGGCAGCTGGGAGAAAGGGGGGGGGGAGAGGGTGGCTTGGACGTCTCACAGTTCCCCATGCCCCCTTACTCCCCCCCCCTTGAGCAAAGAATGCACACAGGAACAACAAACAAGCAAGCAAAACAAACTAAAACAAACAAACAAACAAACAAACAGGAAATTTTGGGATGGAAAGAGGGGACGGGGTGATTGAGACCTCTTCAATCAACATGCGCTGCACTGGCACCTGCTGGAAACGGGAGGACAGAGGGGAGGTGTTGAGTGTGACACCTCAAAACATTATGCCTTGCACTGGCACCTGCTGGAAAGGGGAGGAAAATGGCATCATGCAAGGAATGAGAAGGCATCATGCAGGGAACGGCAAGGCACCTTGAGGGAATGAGAAGGCACATGATTTTGATGTGCCCTAGTACATTGTTTTGCTTTTGTGTTCATACATTCATGCATCGTTCTGGTTCGCTCATACCACGTGGGCGTGCGCGTCAGCCTGCCCCGCCCCGTGCTGCACTGTCACGCCCCGCTGGCAGCTGCTGAAACACGGGGAGGGAGGGCGGGAGGGAGGAGAGGGGAGGGGAGGGGAGATGAGGCGTTGGTCAAATGACTCAAAACAGAGGGGAGAGAGGAGGGGATTTGTCAAATGACTCAAAACAAAGAGGAGAGAGTAGGGGATTGGTCAAATGACTCAAAACAGGGGGAAGAGAGGAGGGGATTGGTCAAATGACTCAAAACAAAGAGGAGAGAGGAGGAGATTGGTCAAATGACTCAAAACAGAGGGGAGAGAGTAGGGGATTGGTCAAATGACTCAAAACAGGGGGAAGAGAGGAAGGGATTGGTCAAATGACTCAAAATCAAGAGGAGAGCGGAGGGGATCGGTCAAATGACTCAAAACAGAGGGGAGAGAGGAGGGGATTGGTCAAATGACTCAAAACAAAGAGGAGAGAGGAGGGGATTGGTCAAATGACTCAAAACAAAGGGGACAGAGGAGGGGATTGGTCAAATGACTCACAACGCACCTGGGGCTGGTTTGGTGGGCCATGCGGCATGGCATGGCGCTGCGCTCCCTCCTCCTGCTTCTGTTTCTCTCCCTTGTTCTCTCTCATGTCCCGCGCATGGATGAACAGGGACGGCCACACAAGCAGCTGGCAACGCATCTGCTCCCTGTGCAAAGTATCTTCATCTTGGCGACAGGAGAAACTGGCACCTGCGCAAGGGGAGGGGAGGAGTTGGGGTGGGGGAGCAGAGCAAGTGAGCGGGGGGAGCAGGGCAAGTGAGCGGGGGGAGCACCCTAAACCCCCTTACCCCCTTACCTGGCAGGAAATGAAAGTCACCATGCAGGGAATGCGAATGCACCTGGCAGGGCATGCCAAGGCACCATGCAGGGCATGAGAATTTACCGGGCAGGGCATGAGAAGGCACCATGCAGGGCATGGGAAGGCACCTGGCAGAAGGGGGGAAGTGGGGAAAGAGGGGAGGGGGTGGGTGAGACATGCTCAAATGGGCAAGCGCTGCACTGGTACCTGGCAGAAAGGGGAGGGGAGAGGGTGGCCTGGATGTCTCAACGTTCCCCAGAGCGCCATGAGCAGCGCCGTCGTTGTCGTTGGCGTGTCAGCGGCATGGCAATCGGCGGCGTGACAGCGGCGTGGCATCGGCGCCCTGAAGCGGAGCTAAACGGAAATCGCCATGTTTGGTGGCAGATTTTGGATGTGGAATGCCGCATTGCTGCTGGCTCCTGGAACGGCAGATGACGAGCTTGTGCTGGCTGCAGCGTGCCTGCCATGACCATGCACACGTCAGCAGGAACAAGGACAAGCAGAAATCGGAACAAACGGAGCTAAGAAGAGGGAATCTACGAAGAAAACGAAATTACTGGAAACAAGACTGAAGATAGCGTGAGTAAGAAAGCGGGCTTACGAAATACTAATGCCATGGCCCATGGCGGATGGCGATCCAAAAGAGAGGCTGCGCTCTTGAGTAGAATGGCTTGAGATTGAAACGAGATCTGGAAAAAAAAAAAATAGCAAACGAAATCACGAAAAACGAAACTACGATAGCGTGACTGCGACTAAGAAAGCAGGCTTACGAAATGGTGATGCCATGCCCCATGGCGGAGGGCGATCTAGAAGAGAGGCTCGGATGTTGAGTTGAGATAGAGTGGCGGATGATAAGAATCGAGGTCTGAAAAACGGGAGTGGGAGTTAGGTGAGCGATTGTGAGCCCAGCCCACTCACATCACGTTTCGTGCACTTTCTGGCTTGCTTGGTCCCCCTGAACGAACGTGGGTTCGTGGTGCAAAGTGGATGTACTGAAGTAGCGTTCTGCACAGTGCTACGTCGGCAGCGCAGTGACAAAGTCGGAAAGTCGGTTTGGGTGCCCTGCGTATATGCAGTCCGACACTCCGATACAGCGAGCGCGACCCAAAGTGAATGTGCCAGCATTTACAGTGACAAATTCGCAGCGCGAATAGGTTTCGCTCGTCAGCTGTGCCCAAAACGAGAACAGCAAAACAGTATCTTGCAAAACTACAGCTTTCCACATGGCAGTAAACAGAACAGATTTTGCTGATTTACAAGCTACACATGTAAGTTGACAAATATGTTTGTGTAATCTGGAGCTTATGCATGTAGGTCAACAAATCAATGACAAATTAGCTCTGGAATAATGAGCTGAATATTAAGGAACGTGCGCATCTGCATGCGTAAATGCATGAATACCCGCATGTCTGGTACCTACCTATTTAACCTAGACGCACGTAGACCTACGTATGCATGCGTACGTATGCCTTCATGCACGTAGTGCGTCTACCTACCGTACACACTCGTACGCGACGCATATGTACATAACCGTACATGCACCAACGCGTACGCACTCGTACGACCGACCTTTTTCTTTGCCCGCGCAAAGAGAGCCGTTGATATCGTCTCGCCGGGGACAATCGCTCTTGCTCGACTGATCGTCAAGTGTGACCGATTTTCGCCATTCAGCACCGTGGTTACGCCAACAGATTGATTGGTTGGATGCTGACCGGGACAAGCTTCACTTCCACCATTGGGCTGGGATAGAAAGAGAGAGACACGAAGGGCAGCGAGCGACATAGAGGGAGTGATGGAGGTGTAAGGAAGAGAAAGGGTGTTGAGCCTCAGTTGTTAAGGAGGTTTAGGGGGTGCAGAGATGCCCGAGAGCAGGTGAGTGGTGCAGCAGAGCAGGTGAGTGGTGCAGCAGAGCAGGTGAGTGGTGCAGCAGAGCAGGTGAGTGGTGCAGCAGGGCAGGTGAGTGGTGCAGCAGAGCAGTTGAGTGGTGCAGCAGAGCAGGTGAGTGGTGCAGCAGAGCAGGTGAGTGGTGCGGCAGAGCAGGTGAGTGGTGCGGCAGAGCAGGTGAGTGGTGCAACAGAGCAGGTGAGTGGTGCAGCAGAGCAGGTGAGTGGTGCAGCAGAGCAGGTGAGTGGTGCAACAGAGCAGGTGAGTGGTGCAGCAGAGCAGGTGAGTGGTGCGGCAGAGCAGATGAGTGGTGCGGCAGAGCAGGTGAGTGGTGCAGCAGAGCAGGTGAGTGGTGCGGCAGAGCAGGTGAGTGGTGCAGCAGAGCAGGTGAGTGGTGCAGCAGAGCAGGTGAGTGGTGCGGCAGAGCAGGTGAGTGGTCTAGCAGAGCAGGTGAGTGGTGCGGCAGAGCAGGTGAGTGGTGCAGCAGAGCAGGTGAGTGGTGCAGCAGAGCAGGTGAGTGGTGCGGCAGAGCAGGTGAGTGGTGCAACAGAGCAGGTGAGTGGTGCAGCAGAGCAGGTGAGTGGTGCGGCAGAGCAGGTGAGTGGTGGCAGAGGGCAGAGCAGGTGAGTGGTGCGGCAGAGCAGGTGAGTGGTGCGGCAGAGCAGGTGAGTGGTGCGGCAGAGCAGGTGAGTGGTGCGGCAGAGCAGGTGAGTGGTGCGGCAGAGCAGGTGAGTGGTGCGGCAGAGCAGGTGAGTGGTGCGGCAGAGCAGGTGAGTGGTGCGGCAGAGCAGGTGAGTGGTGCGGCAGAGCAGGTGAGTGGTGCGGCAGAGCAGGTGAGTGGTGCGGCAGAGCAGGTGAGTGGTGCGGCAGAGCAGGTGAGTGGTGCGGCAGAGCAGGTGAGTGGTGCGGCAGAGCAGGTGAGTGGTGCGGCAGAGCAGGTGAGTGGTGCGGCAGAGCAGGTGAGTGGTGCGGCAGAGCAGGTGAGTGGTGCGGCAGAGCAGGTGAGTGGTGCGGCAGAGCAGGTGAGTGGTGCGGCAGAGCAGGTGAGTGGTGCGGCAGAGCAGGTGAGTGGTGCGGCAGAGCAGGTGAGTGGTGCGGCAGAGCAGGTGAGTGGTGCGGCAGAGCAGGTGAGTGGTGCGGCAGAGCAGGTGAGTGGTGCGGCAGAGCAGGTGAGTGGTGCAGCAGAGCAGGTGAGTGGTGCGGCAGAGCAGGTGAGTGGTGCGGCAGAGCAGGTGAGTGGTGCGGCAGAGCAGGTGAGTGGTGCAGCAGAGCAGGTGAGTGGTGCGGCAGAGCAGGTGAGTGGTGCGGCAGAGCAGGTGAGTGGTGCGGCAGAGCAGGTGAGTGGTGCAGCAGAGCAGGTGAGTGGTGCGGCAGAGCAGGTGAGTGGTGCGGCAGAGCAGGTGAGTGGTGCGGCAGAGCAGGTGAGTGGTGCAGCAGAGCAGGTGAGTGGTGCGGTGACAGTGTAGGGGTGCAGCAGGATAAGGGAGTTGATGCTCAGCTGACAACTGAGAGCTGAGTTGAATGTACTGTAAAAAGAGAACGCTCATCTGTTTTTGGCCGGGTGAGGCACTTTCCTGAGCACAATTAACAACAACAAGGAACCAGGCAGGTATCGAACCCACAAAGTGTTGCACATTTGTGTTTGAAAGAGAAGGTTATGCTACTGGTCCTGTGATTTAAGCAATTTGTTGTGTTCTATATTATTTGACAACGACGTGATTTATGCTATTTGTTGTGTACTGAGCTCTCTTGTCAAGCATCATGGAGGACGCAGAGCCGCTGCGCGCGCTCTCCGCCCACATCGCGTAAAAACGGACCAGGCGGGTATCGCGATAGTTTCCCTCAGCTTTCCGCTCTATCGCCGCGTTCCTTCCGTCCCTAGTCCCTCCCCGCGCTGCGCGCGCTCTCCGTCCACAGCGCGTGACGCGGACCCTACTTGTCTCCCGGGTCTCTCGGGTGAGAGCCGAGTATCCTAACCGACTAGACTACAACGGATGTCACCAACCTTTGACACAAAAATAATGACCTATGTGTTTTTCTGCAATTCTGCCGCTCACGATGACGTTTTCCCATGCGGTTGTCATGACGTCGTCTCTCTCCGTCGCCCTGCACGGGGGCGGTCGCGTGCTCAGCATTCAGTCACATACCGTCCAGGTATCCGTTGCATGCAGTCGTACACTGCCCAGGTATCCTCATCATTCTGTCGCAGACCGTGTTGGTCACCGTCGCATTCACCTGCCCTCACGGTCCAGATAGCAAACGATACCGACGTCGTTACTCTACCCCGGCGTAGGCAATGCAAAGCAGCGTTTTTACGTTACGTAGGGTAACCCTACGGTAGCCAAAGCAACCGCCGGTGGCCGAGAGTCCCTCTCAGGTGTCTCTCAGACGCCCCTCTCAAGTGACTCTCAGGTTACCCTCTCAGGTGTCTCTCAGGTGCCCATCTCAGGTGTCCATCTCGGGTGCCCCTTTCAGGTACCCCACTCAGGTGTTTCTCAGGCGCCCATCTCAGGTGTCTCTCAGGCGCCCCTCTCAGGTATTTTCTCAGGGGGTCCCTCTCAGGCTTCTCTCAGCTGTCCCTTTCAGCTGCCCCTCTCAGGTGTCTCTCAGGTTCCCCTCTCAGGTGCCCATCCCAGGTGTCTCTCCAATGTCTCTCAGGTGCTTGCTTAGTACGACCATGCGAAGTCTGGTATGAAGCTCTGAGTGTCTCGGTCATGCATCAAGTGTATGAAGCATGGGCTCATGCGAACGCGTGTGTGAAGGCGTGTGTCTGCATTGAGTGTATGAGTGTATGTATATACATGCATACATAAATCTATCTATATACATATTTATATTTATACATCTATGTGTTTACACCCTGACACTTCGGTCACATATCTATATTGCTTCGTACCCGGTCCATGCGTCAGAACTATGTGGGTGGGCAGCAAGGTGGCCAGGCTCCCCCGGCAGCTGCTCCTGATGTTGCAGGGTGTTTTTGAGAATTCTCAAAAACACCATGCGTCAGAGCTATGTGGGTGGGCAGCAATGTGGCCGTGTTCCCCCAGCCCGGCAGCTGCTCCTGCTGGGAAGCGGAGCAGGTGAGTGGTGCAGCAGAGCAGGTGAGTGGTGCAGCAGAGCAGGTGAGTGGTGCGGCAGAGCACGTGAGTGGTGCAGCAGAGCAGGTGAGTGGTGCAGCAGAGCAGGTGAGTGGTGCAGCAGAGCAGGTGAGTGGTGCAGCAGAGCAGGTGAGTCGTGCAGCAGAGCAGGTGAGTGGTGCGGCAGAGCAGGTGAGTGGTGCAGCAGAGCAGGTGAGTGGTGCAGCAGTGCAGGTGAGTAGTGCAGCAGAGCAGGTGAGTGGTGCAGCAGAGCAGGTGAGTGGTGCAGCAGAGCAGGGCACGGGGTGTGTGGGTGCTGGACTCGCTGCTGATAGCCTGGTGCTGGTGGTGGGGCGTGACGCCAGTAGCCCTGCTGTAGAGCACATGGGTGAGGTGACAGGGCATGGGGCGTGCCAGTGTGGTGGTCGAGGTGTGCTTTGAGTCGAATCACTCACATGTGCTTGGATATGCTGCTGCTGCTGATGCTGGTGCTGGTGCTGGTGGTGGGGAGTGACGCCAGCAGCCGTGCAGCAGGGGAAGTGAGTGAGGTGACAGGTCATGAGGGTGTTGGTCTGGTGTTGAGTCATGGTTTGAGATGACTCCTGAACATGCTGCTTGTGCTGCTGGTGGGTAGTGACGCCAGTAGCCCTGCTGCAGAGGAGGTGTGTGAGAGGGCATGGGGGTGTTGGTCTAGTGCTTGATTTGATGTGTGGTGTGAGGATGGGGCAGGTTTCACACAACAGGTCGGCGCATGAGGCATGCTGTGTCGGTGAGTGTTAGAAGGTCAGCAATGGGCCCTTGTTTTGACCTTGGAAAGCAGGTCTCATCACTTCACCCCCCTGCCCTTGTCACTTCACCCCCCTGTGCTGGTCACTTATCCTGCCTACCTGTAGTGAACTTGTGCCAGTTTTCTTCTTTCTCCCCCTGTTTGATTCAATTTTCACTCTCCCTTCAGTTTCTGTCACTCATTATCCCCTACGTTTGCACCTGCCCTGCCCACCCCTACATACACCACCCCTTACATACACTGCCCTGGCTCCCACTCTGGTCAACATCTTGACATACGTATTTCAGGAGGACGGCCCCGGACCACCTGGATCATCTAGATCCCCCTCCCTCAGGCGGCAAGGCGAAAACATGAGCGTAATCGGAAGGGTGATGGCAGAAAGCTTGCTTGTGATTGATTAACAAGCAGAGATGGGGTACAAGAGAGGGGAAAAGCCCCCTAAAATCCTGAAAAAACCCCCCCACAGCCCCCCCAAGGCCCCCCTAAGGCCCCCCTACCCCCCAATTCTCCTCACAGCCCCTCACAGCCCCCCTCGAACCGCCCTGGAAATCCCTGGGCATGGCCCATGATGCATATCTGCTCCCTGTCATATCACATTCCTGCTTCTGCTTCTACTTTGTGCTTCCTATCTATCATATCCCTCCCGGGCATGGCATGGCTTGGCATGGCATGGCATGGCATGGCATGGCATGGCATGGCATGGCATGGCATGGCCAACCAGGGAGGGGCGCACAGCACAGAGAGCCAGGAGCTCATCCACCACTCCCTCTTCTGTTCTGCTTCTGCTCCCCACTCCCCTCCCTTTTCCCTCGCCCCTCCCCCCTTTCTCTGCCCGCCTGCGTATATAATAACAAGCACATACATTCATATTCGCTAGGTCATCAAATCTATAAGTCATCTATCACTCTACGCGTCGTAGCAAATAGCCTCATGTTGTCGACAGGAGAAAATGGCACATGCGCTCCCTCCTTGTGCGTCTGTTTCTCTCTCTTCTTCTCCCTCATGTCATGCCCTGCGCATGGCTGAACACAAGCAGGTGGCAACGCATCTACTCCCTGTTTCCGTTTCTGCCACTCTTTCATATCCCAAACCTGGCCCAAACCAAACCTGCACTCCCCCCCTCCCCCTGCATATATACTAACAAGCACATACATTTATGTTCCTAACGTAATCAGATTCATCAATCCCTACCACTCTACACATTGCAAGCCAAGTGTCTTCGTCTTGGCGACAGGAGGGAAGCTGGCACCTGCGCAAGGGGAGGGGGGGAGTTGGGGTTGGGGAGAGGGGAAGCGGAGCAAGTGAGCGGGGGGAGCAGGGCAAGTGAGGGGATGGCAGGAGGTGTGAGGGCATGGTGGGATGGCAGGTGTGAGGGATATGGCAAGGTGTGCAGTGCATGCTCTGGGGCGACTCACAACGCACCTGATGCTGGTTTGGTGGGCCATGCGGCATGGCATGGCGCTGCGCTCCCTCCCCCTGCTTCTGTTTCTCTCCTTTGTTCTCTCTCATGTCCCGCGCATGGATGATGAGGGACGGCCACACAAGCAGCTGGCAACGCATCTGCTCCCTGTGCAAAGTATCTTCATCTTGGCGACAGGAGAAACTGGCACCTGCGCAAGGGGAGGGGAGGAGTTGGGGTGGGGGAGCAGAGCAAGTGAGCGGGGGGAGCAGGGCAAGTGAGCGGGGGGAGCACCCTAAACCCCCTTACCCCCTTACCTGGCAGGAAATGAAAGTCACCATGCAGGGAATGCAAATCCACCTGCCAGGGCATGAACAGGCACCATGCAGGGCATGAGAAGGCACCGTGCAACACGCGAAGGCACCTTGCAGGGCATGAGAAGGCACCTGGAAGAAGGGGGAAAGTGGGGAAAGAGGGGAGGGGGTGGGTGAGACAGGCTCAAATGGGCAGGCGCTGCACTGGCAGCTGGCAGAAAGGGGAGGGGAGAGGGTGGCTTGGACGTCTCACAGTTCCCCATGCCCCCTTACACCCCCCCCTTGAGCAAAGAATGCACACAGGAACAACAAACAAGCAAGCAAAACAAACTAAAACAAACAAACAAACAAACAAACAAACAGGAAATTTTGGGATGGAAAGAGGGGACGGGGTGAGTGAGACCTCTTCAATCAACATGCGCTGCACTGGCACCTGCTGGAAACGGGAGGACAGAGGGGAGGTGTTGAGTGTGACACCTCAAAACATTATGCCTTGCACTGGCACCTGCTGGAAAGGGGAGGAAAATGGCATCATGCAAGGAATGAGAAGGCATCATGCAGGGAACGGCAAGGCACCTTGAGGGAATGAGAAGGCACATGATTTTTATGTGCCCTAGTACATTGTTTTGCTTTTGTGTTCATACATTCATGCATCGTTCTGGTTCGCTCTTACCACGTGGGCGTGCGCGTCAGCCTGCCCCACCCCGTGCTCCACTGTCACGCCCCGCTGGCAACTGCTGAAACACGGGGAGGGAGGGAGGAGAGGGGAGGGGAGGGGAGATGAGGGATTGGTCAAATGACTCAAAACCGAGGGGAGAGAGGAGGGGATTGGTCAAATGACTCAAAACAAAGAGGAGAGAGGAGGGAATTGGTTAAATGACTCAAAACAAAGAGGAGAGAGGAGGGGATTGGTCGAATGACTCAAAACAGAGGAGAGAGGAGGGGATTGGTCAAAGGACTCAAAACAGAGGGGAGGGAGTAGGGAATTGGTCAAATGACTCAAAACAGAGGGAAGAGAGGAGGGGATTGGTCAAATGGCTCAAAACAAAGAGGAGAGAGGAGGGGATTGGTCAAATGACTCAAAACAAAGGGGAGAGAGGAGGGGATTGGTCAAATGACTCAAAACAAAGAGGAGAGAGGAGGGGATTGGTCAAACGGCTCAAAACAGAGGGGAGAGAAGAGGGGATTGGTCAAATGACTCAAAATAGAGGGGAGAGAGGAGGGGAGCAGGGCAAGTGAGCGGGGGGAGCACCCTAAACCCCCTTACCCCCTTACCTGGCAGGAAATGAAAGTTACCATGCAGGGAATGCGAATGCACCTGCCAGGGCATGAACAGGCACCATGCAGGGCATGAGAAGGCACCGTGCAACATGCGAAGGCACCTTGCAGGGCATGAGAAGGCACCTGGCAGAAGGGGGAAAGTGGGGAAAGAAGGGAGGGGGTGGGTGAGACAAGCTCAAATGGGCAGGCGCTGCACTGGCAGCTGGGAGAAAGGGGGGGGGGAGAGGGTGGCTTGGACGTCTCACAGTTCCCCATGCCCCCTTACTCCCCCCCCCTTGAGCAAAGAATGCACACAGGAACAACAAACAAGCAAGCAAAACAAACTAAAACAAACAAACAAACAAACAAACAGGAAATTTTGGGATGGAAAGAGGGGACGGGGTGATTGAGACCTCTTCAATCAACATGCGCTGCACTGGCACCTGCTGGAAACGGGAGGACAGAGGGGAGGTGTTGAGTGTGACACCTCAAAACATTATGCCTTGCACTGGCACCTGCTGGAAAGGGGAGGAAAATGGCATCATGCAAGGAATGAGAAGGCATCATGCAGGGAACGGCAAGGCACCTTGAGGGAATGAGAAGGCACATGATTTTGATGTGCCCTAGTACATTGTTTTGCTTTTGTGTTCATACATTCATGCATCGTTCTGGTTCGCTCTTACCACGTGGGCGTGCGCGTCAGCCTGCCCCGCCCCGTGCTGCACTGTCACGCCCCGCTGGCAGCTGCTGAAACACGGGGAGGGAGGGCGGGAGGGAGGAGAGGGGAGGGGAGGGGAGATGAGGCGTTGGTCAAATGACTCAAAACAGAGGGGAGAGAGGAGGGGATTTGTCAAATGACTCAAAACAAAGAGGAGAGAGTAGGGGATTGGTCAAATGACTCAAAACAGGGGGAAGAGAGGAGGGGATTGGTCAAATGACTCAAAACAAAGAGGAGAGAGGAGGAGATTGGTCAAATGACTCAAAACAGAGGGGAGAGAGTAGGGGATTGGTCAAATGACTCAAAACAGGGGGAAGAGAGGAAGGGATTGGTCAAATGACTCAAAATCAAGAGGAGAGCGGAGGGGATCGGTCAAATGACTCAAAACAGAGGGGAGAGAGGAGGGGATTGGTCAAATGACTCAAAACAAAGAGGAGAGAGGAGGGGATTGGTCAAATGACTCAAAACAAAGGGGACAGAGGAGGGGATTGGTCAAATGACTCACAACGCACCTGGGGCTGGTTTGGTGGGCCATGCGGCATGGCATGGCGCTGCGCTCCCTCCTCCTGCTTCTGTTTCTCTCCCTTGTTCTCTCTCATGTCCCGCGCATGGATGAACAGGGACGGCCACACAAGCAGCTGGCAACGCATCTGCTCCCTGTGCAAAGTATCTTCATCTTGGCGACAGGAGAAACTGGCACCTGCGCAAGGGGAGGGGAGGAGTTGGGGTGGGGGAGCAGAGCAAGTGAGCGGGGGGAGCAGGGAAAGTGAGCGGGGGGAGCACCCTAAACCCCCTTACCCCCTTACCTGGCAGGAAATGAAAGTCACCATGCAGGGAATGCGAATGCACCTGGCAGGGCATGCCAAGGCACCATGCAGGGCATGAGAATTTACCGGGCAGGGCATGAGAAGGCACCATGCAGGGCATGGGAAGGCACCTGGCAGAAGGGGGGAAGTGGGGAAA